AAGAGCAGTTTCTTTACTTGGAGGTTCATGCAAGACGGTGTACTTTACGGAGCTCAACTGGAGCTTGTTGCGAGGGTTTTCTGGACACTGGAAGGGTGGGGACCAGGCCCAAACGACTTCGGCAACACCTGACTTCTGGGTTCCCATTCGCCCAGAGATTCCGAGAAAAGCGCAGCATCAACAGAAACTCAACCTCTGTGAACGACGAAGCCCTCGACCTGCAGGAATCTGGACGGCATGTCCGTGGTCCAGCCATTATGCCAGCAAGTTATGCAAGGACCCTTCGAGTTTCGTGCCTCCGGGGCATCTTCGGGTCCGGCAGGATCAGCCTTGCTCACGCTTTCGGGGCAAAGTCGACAGCTGAGAGCTTGGTTTCTTACCTGCAGGATCCGCATCGTCGTAGTAGTAGTAGTAGTAGTAGTAGTAGTAGTAGTACTAGCAAAAAAGCAAGAAGTCGTCGTCGTCGTACAGTATCAGTACCATTACTATTATTGTAGTTATTATCATTGTTAGTAGTAGTGTGTAGTAGCAGAAGTAGTATCCTATAATGGAGGTCCTCAGTGGATCACGAGGCCTTGTCGTTGCTATTGCTAACGCGAGCTCTCGCTGCAAACCTCATTGTCATCACCGTCATTGTTGCCGTTCGTCGTCGTTATTGCCATCGCCGCGATCACTATCGTCAACATCGTGATCAACACCAGCCCAAACATATTCTTGATCGTCCTTATCATTCGGCCATGACCATCGTCATCACCAGCAGCAGCAGCAACCGAATCATGATCATCACCATGGTCATCATGACCACCATCATTGCAATCGCCATCATCCGCATCATCCTGACCATAAATCCTTTGCATCATTCTCGGCATCAGTTCTGCGCACTATTTACCTGTTCACATCGCGTGATTAGTCCCAAATATCATGGCTCTGTGCAGGAGCGCACTGTGACGTTCACGTCTACAATGCGGACACAGGAGCGTTGCAATGGGCTCCTTTTCCAAATTCAGAGGGTGCCGTGGAGGGATCCACTTCGGGGGGCGCTAGAAAGTCGATTATGCACGTTATTGAATTCGTCTTCCGAACCCGGCTTCGAGAAAAACATGATACAGGACTCCGGAGGATCACCCCTAATTCTCTTGCCAATGAAAACAGCCTCCGCGGGGGCATTTGCAGTCGCTTTCTTGTAACATGAACGGATGTTCACTCGAAGGTAGCCGATCTTGTCATCAAAGAGTGCCAAGTCAAGCACGGACTAGTTGTCAACAAAGCAACATGGGCACGCAGACAGTGGCTAATTGTTTAGTTTAGAGCACCAATTACGGAGCTCCAGAAGTTAATAAGCCATGCTGTGTGTCTCAACCGTTCAGATCTGAACGAAGGTTTTCCATGGACCTGCACAAGCAGGTCCTCTGCAGGCAGGACCGTCGGGGCGAGATGAGTGAGCCACAGCCGCGATAAGGACGACGTTCCCAAGCAGTCTTCCAGTCCCAATCCTCATCGTACAGCACAAACGCCGCTAATTAGGGAGTCCAGCGCTGAAGACACGCCAAGTTGAGAGGGTGGGGAACGCGCATGGTAGCAACGCTCAGGGGCCCTCGAATGCATTGCAGGGCGGAGATCTCGAGGGATTCGAAGACCGCCAATACATGGGCATCCGCGAAGCGTGCCTGCCAAACGGCTGGAGCGTGGCTTGCCTGTAATGTAGCAGAAGGGAATATAATTACCCATTCTATTCCTTGGGGTTTCTTCTCATAGGAATGGTACAATGTCCCCCCAACATCTTAAATCTAATTATTATACGGCCCCTATTCGTCAGTATCGTCTAGGATGGCAGCTTTCTGCAAGAGTTGGTGGGCGCGGGGGGTTGACTTATACTTGTGCCGGAACTATAAACTGAGTCCGGTCCCTCACCACAGAGGGTTGCGGCAGGCACCTTGCCTTGGGCTTCCTTCCAAGGAAGTTTACCACAGGGTGCCGCAGTAGGGGCAGGCCATTTCCCCCACATCCCCCTACGAAACCATCCCGACAGAGGTGGCATTATAGATGCGACAATAACTCAGAAGGCAGCTTCATTTTCCATCGTCATCATGTTCCTCCTCGTCGTCGTAAGTGCTCCTTCAAAAGCTTCAGAGTTTCCCTGAACTACCACAGCCGGATAACAGAACCTTGACCTGGCCAGTCAAAAGCCCGCTTGCGTCGCCAAAATGCGTGCAGCTGATCGGATCCCCTTTGCCAGACCGCAGCATGCGGGCAGATGGCACATGGGGGTTCCCGAAAATGGGGGACCCTAATATAGTACCCTAAATAGTATAGGATCCCTATTATAAGGACCCCAAAATAAGGTATCCCTAATAATCGGAAACCCCCACATCACGCTAAGCACTCACACTAAGTCTTGCAAACCGCTCGCTGTGGACTCGTGCTGCTGATTGATGACTGTGGACACTGCTATTGTCGCTGTTGTGGGAAGGGTAATGCTAGGGCGAAAGCCCTTGCATGGAACCCATGAATCGGGGCTTTCAGGCACCAACCATCGACGCCGATGGCACTGTGTTTGTTGGCCACGAAGCGCCTTAGTTAGCACTGGGCATTGCTCTTTGGGCGAAGGTTTTCTGGAACCAAGGCCAACAATACTTGAAATTTGGGCAGGAATAGCAGGATTTCCCAGAGTCTCCAATATCCTTTAATTAACGAATATTCCTTGAATTATAGTAGGCTGGCTGGATGCAAAGGCATTCGGGGACGGCTGTTCTCAGGCTCACGAGTTATGTCATACCGAGTCGTGCCCCAGCATCGGCCTAGCTACCGCCCACAAAGCTCCCCAAACGGCAAAGTGGGAGCGGGACAACGATGGGTGCAAACTGAGCATGCTTTAGGATGGGCAGTTTTTCGCTCTTCGCGACGCGAACGCCGATGGTGTGATCTTCGGCGATGACGAGGTGGGACCTCACGTGTCGCCTTGCTGTGGCGAGTTCATGCTGCGCTTCCAGTTTGTGTCTCGGCGTAAAGTGGCATAGCACTTCTAACAGCAATGCACAGTCCCAGAGGCCTGGGACTGCTAGGTCACAGAAAGTCAAGGCTGCGCATGCCCAGCGTTTCGAGCGAAGGGTGGCTTTTGTTGCCACCCCTCTTGGCGCTGTACTTTCGTGCACCCAAAATTGTGCTTGAACATAAAACCATTGAAACCTATCACATTGCAGGGATGTCACGTTTAAAAGCTGACTGATTTTAGGTGCTCTTGTGGGTCCCTGATTCTCAAAGGCTTCGATGCCCTGTCTAGCTAGGCGCTCGACATTCGTGGAGTGGTATGCGCATGTCCACACAGAGTCAAACTTGAGCATTACGGTGAGACCCTAAAAATCCTAAACCCCAATCCTCGCCTGGCTTGTCCGAGTTGTGAGAGTGTAAACCCCAAACTCTAACCCTCTGTGGAGCCTTGCCAGCTGCGTGCGAGAGTGAGAGTCGAAACCCTAAACCCTAAACCCCAAACCCCAAACCCTAAACCCTAAACCCTAAACCCTAAACCCTCAACCCTAACTACACTAAACCCTAAAGCCTCGAACCGGAGGTGCAGAATTACAGCACCGGGTCGGCCTTCTCGGGCTCCTCTTCCCCATCGGTTGGGCCAGGTCGGACTTCTGCAAACCTCGTCTTGCGGCACGGAGCCACACTTTGTGAGAGCTTGGTATAATATAGGGGCCTAAAGAATTGCCAATACTGTTTTGGGGGCTCCTTGTCATAATGCTACTATACCTGTTCTAATTATTAAGGCCCCTATATTATACTGTGCCTCTTTCTGGTTTATCAGAAAAGCATAGTTACACATGCTGGAAAGGTTGAGTCGTCCCTCCTGAGTTTTTGTGCGACCGAGTCTGACACCGCTTCCCCGCTCATGGGTTACCACCGATCCCAGATGATTCCACAATCGAGCATGCATCCTTCCAAGCCTTTGTCATTGCATTGCTTCAGTCTGGCTCGGTGTGCCTGTGTTCAGTCTTTTCGTGCTTTGGACCCAGTGCTGCATTGAAGACATTTATGCGTCGGAAAAGTGCCATGACAGCATCACTGCCAACATCTGGGTGCCGGCTCTTTGCTACATATAAGATTGACACCGCAGGCATCATGGCAATCGCAAACTGCGACTCGCTCTACGTGTTCAAGCAGTGATCCCGGGCGCTGCGCTTCAAAGCCCATGTGCCCGTGACTATCTCAATCATTGGAAGATAGCCTCAAGTTCTTGAGGAGTCTCAAAGCGGACGGCATATAGATTGTTTGTACATTCTCGAAGGCGACGTGTGGATTCCATCGCTCGGGTTTCGCCTGCCAAGTTAGGAACGTGCGGCTTGTCCAGAAGCAGCAGCCAGCGATCCCGTCGAGTCAAAGGAAGCACAAGCTCGTTCGCATGCGCTGGCTGATAAGAGATATGTTCGGCGCACTTTTCTGGAAGACCCCTAGAGGAATGACATGGAGCTTGAGCTAGAATCCCCGACTTAGACACAACAAGTATCTTAGATGAAATTTCTCTCGCAAGGGCGATTACGGGGATGACGCCACGGAGACCAGAAGCCTATTCCATCGAACCTTACTTGTCCACCTATTGTGTGACTGCATGTGGTCGCGGTCGACATACCCTTCACTGGAACGTAAACGAATATGGCTGGTACTATCAGCACAGGGCATCGCGCAGCAAAGGAGCTTGTGTTTACGGCTCTTTGTTGAAGGTCTCCCTGCACGTCGAAGTGTCATGTCGTCAGTCTTTAGCAACTGCTTTACACCTCCAACAACGGTCCAATCCTCATCTCGAACTTACACAGGGCCGCATGTCTTGCTCCTCCCAACTCACAGTCTCGAAGGAAGACCTTACACTTCAAGCCTTCTATCGGGAGAGAGGGAGAGAATTACTGCATGCATACGTGAATTGCATGCACACATAGACTGACAGACAGACATGCATATATGTTTCGCATGCACGCAACCACACCACCTCGTCCACTGATCAGTTGGCTGCGCCGGGCGCATCACTGGCTCGCAAAGCCGAAGCATGAGCTCGGTGCCCAAGGTCTTTGAGGGCTGAAAAAGGACTTTGAGCCTCTAACTTCAGGATCAGAAGCTGCCAGGCAAGCCTAATATTCGGAGCACCAGGCATGGTGATGGGGTTCCCTGTTAGAACAATCAAAGTGGCTTGAATTCCGCTTGAGTGCTTCATACTTACCTAGCCTGGCGACCTTGCATCACAAGTAAGCTCCTTAGCCTAGTTATAAAGACCGACAGCTTCTGCAACCACACTTGTAGAGTTCCCAACAACCGGCCGAGCACGCTTTCGAGCTAAGACAGCTCACTGTTCGATTCGAGCCGAAGCACCGCACTTCCTGCCCACTGCAGTCTCCAAGGCGCAACTACTACCGGTTCATGAGTCTTCCCATGGATTCTTCCAAGGAGGATATCAGGCTCACGACATGCTTGGCTCGTTGCATCCATGGTTTCTTTAGGGTTTAGGGTTTAGGGTTTAGGGGTGAGGGTTGCATGGGCGCTGNNGTCCGTGCTGAAAAGGGTTTAGGGCAGACCGGTGCATCTTGGACAGGAAGCAGTATCGACGCCTTTGTCTGCTCGCAGCCTCAGACACAACTTCCGGGGCTGTCGAAAACGAGAGGGATGCTGGCTGCAGTGTGCACGCGCTTCATTCTGTGAAGATCGAGAATGTGGGCTGCTAGAGACTATGTCTGGGAGGAGGATATAGCATCCTCGGGATCTGGAGATGTTTTCTTCTGCCACATGTGAAGTCATGAGCCCCTGGAATCCTTTCGGACCTGATAAAGGTGCCGAAACAATTACTAACACTATTTGGGGGGGGGGGGGGGG